GGTACAAAGATTTTGGCACATCCCACAGGGAAAACTAAGTGAACGCTTCATTTAAAAAAAGAGCAAGATTTGTCAAAAGTGGAAATAACGAATTTGTAGATTAGAAGGATTGAATTGCTTTGAAGACACCATGAATGAAAGTACACCTGAAGGAAGAGGGATTCGATATAGGAGATGATGTCATGAGTTGTCATGGAAACTGGCAGTGGCTGATACTTAAAGTGGCTTGACTTAGCTCCCACTGGCTTTCAGATAAAGCAATTTCACTGTGTAGTATTCTTAAAATAGTTACCACCTACCCTTCCTTGTTGCTATGACAACTAACTGGACAGCTTTTTTTCTGCCTCTTGTCTCCTGCTTTCTGTAACTATGTCGATATCCGCTCATCTATGCGGGTATCATTGGTAAATAGTTGGTTGCATGGCACTTTTTTGTGCAAATCTGACACACGGACATTCTAGTTCAAGCAGATTTCAATATAGTTCTCATGTTAGTTGATTAGTAAATGTGAAAGTTGAGGGGGGATATTTCAGATCTTGGCTCTGTATTAAATAATAATAATGATTTACTTAATAGTTTTATTGTGCTGATGTTATTTATTTAAAAAATAAATTAGGAAATAATAAATATACACATCTTTAGTAAAAAAAAAATGAAAATTGGGGACTATAATAAATATACACATTATCGGAAAATAAATGAAATGAAAGCATTCATGGACAGTCCATTTGTTGACACTACTGACATAGATTCAGTGGAAAAGAAAAAAAGGAATTTGCGGTTCCATCAGTATCACCTTTGTTTGTTGTCTAGGTATTGAATTTCAGTTTTTTTTTTGTTGATGGCCAGTCATCCACATCTCTTTTCAATTTTGTGGTAGTTTTGTTGCATTGGAAGTGGTGGTATGCTGCATTCACTGTTGACAAATCCTCTCTACTGTAGTGTCCTTAAGACTATTTTTCCCACACTCATTGGTAAATGGTAATGATGTCTTTACCTGGGGGTGAGGTTGGATCATGGGAGGGGCTGTATTTAATAAGTTGTTGGTGGGAGAGATGGCTTTTCATGCAATCACCTGCTGTGAACTCTATTTCTTAACAGGTATGCAGTTCATGTTGTGGGTTATTTGAATTATTTGCATCAATCTAAACTCACTTGTTTGTTTCTATCCATTACAGAGGAAGCCCGACAAGCCAAATGTGGAATTCTAGTGCATTGCTTAGCTGGGATAAGTCGGTCAGTCACTGTAACTGTAGCGTACTTGATGCAGAAACTGGCGTGGTCGCTGAACGATGCATACGACTATGTGAAGAAGAAAAAAGAAAATATATCTCCCAATTTCAATTTTATGGGACAGTTGCTGGACTTTGAGAGGACACTAAGCAGCAGTCCATGCCGGAAGGGCACATGTAAATGTGCCTCAGAAGGAAGGAAATGTCTGAGTCCGGATACAGCTTTATTTGCTTGTATATCAACAATGGAACCAGAATTTCAGTTTGACATCACAACTCCAAGCTGATCTCTGGGTTCAGAGAATTCAAAATATTGAAATCGTTTATGAAATTGATAGAAGTGCATCCATAGCAAAAAGGATCACATAATTTCACAGTTGGGAAGAGGAGAAGAGTAATGAAATGAAACGATACGATGTGTTACCATAGCAATGGGTTCAGAATAGAGTAAACACTTAAGCTGGTCGTGTATAGATGAAGTTGGTGTACTTGTGTGCAGAAGTGAAACCTGGTGTCAGTTCGTCACTACCCTGTGTACGCACATTTAAAATTGTATCTTGAATAATGTTCTCAAACAACTTTTAAGAGAAATAATACACCTTTTTACTTACTTGGTTATATTTCTTTGTTTTTAAGCAATTTATCTATCAGTTCTGTTGGCCATAACATGACTGTTGGTAATTAACATTAGTTGTTCAAAACATTATTCTCTCTTTTTGTTGTTGATCTTTTGAATCTTGTCACGTCTACTGCTTGACTTGTCTTCACTGAGCCAAAAGTTGAGTTTTTTTTATTTAACTTGGGTTCTCAGATCACTTCTGTAAATACAAATAATTTTCCACTTATTCAGAAATTTAAGCTTACACATGAATGTGTTTGTGCTACATTCTCCAAGTCTTGAAGGCTTCAGTGCAGGAAACTGTGGTTAATGAGCAGTGGTAAAATTACACCACTTGGCGAGTTTGGAGGGAGTAGTTGCAAACACAAGAGTGTAGGATGAAGGGTTGTATTACGGATTTCTTGACCAAAGTTGTGGTATGCTGTAAAAGTATGCCAATCATGTGCAAGAAGGGCAAGAACGGGACTGGATATTGCATATTTGATAAGACATAACGTCAGTCCTTCATAGTGTGGCACAGAGCAACAAATGAGTCATCAAGGAAGACTGTTCCACTATATAGTAGGGGTGGGAGGCATGATTCTTTCGATTGATTGAAGAAAAACTGATGTACAATTCCTTGTTACACATTCATCTGTGAATAGGTATATCAGGAATGTAAATTATTTGCCAACTAACCCTTTCCAATAAAATGTATATTGAATTTTGTCCTTGGGCTTGGCAAGTTGTAATTGCAATAATAACTTCTGAAAGCATATCAAAAGACAAAAAAATATTATAACTTTTATCTTCAAAAGATTGCTCACTATATGTTATGTTGTATCCCTACCCAACATTGGCTAGAAGTAATATCTAAACTGCCGAAAAAACCTGACTATTGTTGACACCCAGAAGAGATTGTAATAAAATTTATACTATTCTATTTGTATAAAACAAGATAAATGTAGATGGTGATTTCCATTGTAAACATTTTATATATTGTAAAAATTATTTTAGACTGAAGAACCAACCTGTTTGTTCAGTAGAAGTTCTTTGTTTTTATCCAGAATAAAATCTTGTACAGTATTGTAAATTTAAAAACTTGCATCTGTTGTTAATTCAGTTTACCCCCCCCCCCCCCCATTGGTTTTGATAATCCATCATCAAGTGCCTTCACATTTTATTTGTCCCTTTTCCCCACCTATCTCTACAGGTTATTTTAGCCCATTCCCTACCTTTGTCTACAGGTTAATTTACCCGATTACCTACCTATTTCTACAGGTTATTTTACTCCATTCCCTACCATTGCTACAGGTTATTAGTCCCCGTTCGGACGGAGTCCGAAAACGGGGACTTATGTTTTGCCCTGTGTGCGTCCGTCCGTGCGTCCGTGCGTCCGTGATCACCTGTATCTCGAACATGCATGGACCGATTATGTTCAAACTT